TGACGTTTGTGAGATTTCGAATTTCGGCAAGGAGATTTAAATCATTGAAGATCATTGTGCTCGCCAATATTTGAATTGCGAGAGTGCAGTTGACTCCGCACAAACGAGCCAACAATGGAAGGTGCTCTGGTCCGCCTCCTGGCGGTGTTTTCCGGGATAGTTTGGGAAGCCTGAGTACAAACTCCACTTTGGAAAGAGACACCCAAACCAGATCTCGCGCGGAGAAAATTCAGTGGATAATGCAGGGGTTTTGAGACATTTCTTTGGGTGGGTATTCACGGATGAGGGTTAACTTGGACAGAAGAAAAAGCTGCCATGACTTTGCAGTGTTACTTGCAAATGAAAACCGAGGCATGAGAGCTCTTCTCTCAAATTGAGTCACTGTTTACATACTTTTTCTCTGATATTTTGTCACAGCTAGCTAGCTAGCTGCAAATGTAAATCAAATATGGTGTAAAAATAGTATTTAGCTTCATATTCCTGGCTTATATATGTGTATTTATATCATCTACATCTACAGGGATCATGACTTATGATGCATGGAGATTGATAAATACTGGTCAATAAACCTCAGTTATACATTGGGGATAATCATACGAGGAGGAAAGATGCCGGTAACGGCACATTGATTTTTCAAATTATGGAGGAGACAAAATTTTGCATTCCACAACTTCAAATCAACAGGGTGAGGTGGCTATTCGACGGCAAAGAGCACTAATAGGTGAGAAAGAATGACTATACTCGAGGGTCAGTAGTTGCGAGCCTACCAATAGAGGCTCATCAACACGAGGTGGTAAGAAATAAAATTGTCTTCAACTCAATGCTGTATACGGCCCAGCTCTGGTCACCCCGTGCGCAAGTCAAGCAGTGCTTCAGCTGCAGTCAATGGGGGCATACCCAAGCCTCTCGTAATAGGGCGAGGAGATGTGGAGTGTGCGCTGGCACCCACCAGACCAGAGATTGCCCGAAGAGGTCGGTTCCTTAGCTGCAACTATGGCGAGCCTCATTCATCGTGGCAGAAGAGGAAGTGTCTAAATTTCGCGCCATATAAGTTCAGTGTCCAGAGGGCACGGTATGGAGTCATGCAGAAGACAGCAGACTTAAGACGAGAGGGCTTTACACCAACGGCAAAAAATATAGACCACCAGGTGTTCACACTAGTAACCAAGCAAAGGGTAGAAGGCCTCAAAAGGGGACCAGGGCGCCCGCGGAAACAGGTACTAGCATATCCGGATAACTCAGAGTTTTTGAGACGTTCCCTTGAGTGGGTATTCGCGGATGAGGGTTGACTTGGGGTGAAGAAAAAGCCACCATAACTTCGCAGTGGTACTTGCAAATGAAATCCGAGGCATCAGTGCTCTACTTCTAAATTGAGTCATCTATTATACACTTCTATGATATTGTGTCATAGCTAGATAGTTGCATACGCAATTAAAATCTGATGCAAAAAAAGAAAAATAGAAAGAAAAACAGGTCCTAGTCCCAGCTTCACTACGACTACCAACACCATTGGGATCCACTTCAAGACCCCAGACATGGATTTTAAACAAGCGAGGAAAAGGGAAGGACGCGGAGGTATACTTCAGCTAGTTCTGTCTCGGACTAATGGCCCATTGCGCTTCCTGTAGGCGAACGAAGAACTACAGAAATAATTTGAAGGGGTAGGGGTTTCCTATCGGAAGGTTTCGCCCTCATGTAAAATAACTATGAGTAGAGTTTATAGCCACCTGCATCAGCCCACAGGGCGCCAAATTAGGTTAATGAAATCAAATTCAAAAAAAATCAAACCTCAGTTTTATTTTATCATAGCTATTTTTATATTACTATCATGTCTGAGACTGACTATGCAGCACATGTAGTGTGTCATAGCTAGATATCTGCATACACAACTAAATTTTGATGGAAAAAATAACGTCGGTTATCAATTTCTGCGCATACGCAATCTCACTTTTCATCTCTTAAGTTTATTTAGCACGATGCATATAGATACAATTATTTTAACCAAAATATTCCTTTGTATAGCCTCAAATAAGCCTTACTGTATCGGTCTGACAGCCGACACTGATTCCGCTCTTGCCTCCATCTTAGCTCAAGCTCATAAACCTAACAAGAACTAGGCATGAACTTATGGCAGGTACAGCTCACAAATAAATGGAACAAATACCAGTGTTAACAGCGGCGTAGGAATTTAGTGTGACGACTGATAACAGCTTCACCACTGTGACATAGAGAAAGCCAGATGGACCAAGAAGAAGGCCGTGGCCGCTGCTTAAATTATCCCCGCCAACGATAACCGTGAAATTACAAACTTCATTAAGACGGGCGGCTGTTCCTCGTCTGCCTGTTAATCGAGGTCCCTATACGGTAGTCGAGAAGTTGGTTAGACAGCTCAACAACTAAGCTACATCGAAAGAGGAAATAATGAGCCAATGAAAGAGCTACAAAACAGAGGTAGTGGAAGAAATCTTCAGAATTAAGCCGGGACTTGTCAACATGGTAGTTCCTTGAGTCTTATTTGCTTGAAAGTTTTTTCCCTAAATATTATAGCCACCTATCCATATATATCTATAAACAGGAACCAACCAAGACAGAAAGTAAGAATCTACACATGTCTAAAAGTATCTAGCAAGTTAAGCCATGTACGTAAGTGGAAAAGAGTGTGTATGAAACACATACCCGTATCATACCCCTCGAGGGTAGGGCGTAAGCCGGATACGAATAGCATTCAAATTGAGCCCACTGATCCAATACCAATGCTTGTTAAGCAAGTACTTTTGAGCAGATAACTTTTTTTTTTAGTCTTATATCTGAGTAAATTTATTTGCAACAGAAAACCCTAGTTCTATCGTTCCTCTAAAGCGACGCTGCGTTTTATTTGTTGATAAATGATATTATTCTTGAACTAATGCAACATAATGTTCTCTGTTCGGCGTACAGCTAAATGCATGACTGATCGGAACTAGTACTCATTATACCTCGCTGTGTTGAGAGGACGTCATATCGATATTGTGGCTGTTTATTGATAGCGAAGAGCGGAGATTGTGATAAGAGCCAGGAGTCAAACAGAGTCGCTCAGAGCATATTCAGAAGGCAGCAAGACCATTTCAAATTGCATCTTCTTTGCGGCTCGTGAGGGCGTACAAAGTACTAACCGCTTGACTTGGCTCGGTAACTCAAACACAGTACGGGAGAATTCACACAATACTACTGCGACAACACGACTTTTTTCGCGCGAGGCAGGCTTCTCAAGATCTAACACCTCCTCGAAGCCAGCGATAGATCAGGACCTATAAATTATGGGTCGAGAAGAGATGATTCATAACGGGCCATAGACTCACATCATAGACCAATTTATGGTTTTTATCCGGAACTAAGTCGAACTCACACATTGGCATGGCAAGTACCTAGGCTTCTTCCTACTTCAGTAAATCTTTAAATGTGCTAGGGTGGTTATAGAAGACAAATCGCTGTGTTTATTAACAATCTTTCGGGATTTCTGCGTTTGGTTAAATATATTTGGCCATATGGCTGCAACCAGCTTGATTATCCACAAGGAAGCCTCATGGGGGAAACATCTTATTCATAGTTCCTTCACGACTAAGCCTTTTCAAACCAGAGATAGATTTATAACATGATTACTTATTATCTACGTGATCCCAAAGGGCTACTATCCATATTACTTCAAGATCGTCTGCACATCAACTATGCAATTGAAATCCGATAATGGGCGAATTGGTTTACCAAAATAATCAGACTCTGTATGGGGTCAATAATTTGTGAAGAGAGAGGATTTCGAGGACGCGATGTCGATCAATAATATCTAGAGCTAAATAGGATGACGAAATCTAACGCCTGTTAGCAGCGCCTCATGCGGGCCTCTGCCTATCACCTACCACCAGAAGAGCCACACCTGAACAATCTACAAGCCAAGGGGCTTTATTATCCATGAATCTACGGCATTCTCTAATACAGAAGATGGCCCAGAGAAATTGCTCTAGAGTGATTCGAAGCACAGTAAATGGCTTATCCTGAGGCGCAACTAACGGGTGGCATCACAAAGAAGATATGAAGATGGAGTATGATTTATCTAAATATATGCAAGTCTACATCGCCCGGATTGTCGCTCTTTCGCAATGTCTCAGAAAGTTGGCGATGTTTTGGTATTTAGTTCTGGTATCAGTGTTCAGGGAGCCCCACACTCGGTAGTTTTTGCCATTTTGTGCGGCTACCAAATACACACAAATGACCTTTGTATCTTTCTTTGAAGAGGAGAGGTAATTGTGAGCAAAAGGCTTCTCCAGATGTGGGATTGGGTAAAGGCATTGGAGGGGACGCACTACTCGCATGGGTGTCTCTGGTCTGGAGGTAGAAATTACCTACATGTCCTTGTATGGTTGTAGATAGAGAGAACGATAACAATGTAATATGATGGTGCCTAAACTGTGTCGTGATTACTATAGAATACCGAAGCACATCTTCGTCCTAACACAGGGATCTCATGAAGCGGATTGCTGGTAGCCAATGGACGGCAAACTTAGTCTCTGCCTCCAAGCGCCCACAAGTCATGCTGCTGATTACCTGATGGTTAGTTGCGGCAAATTCGAGGATATGCGCGTCAGACGCATCTAACACGGCGCGACATCTATTATGACCAGCACCACAGATGGCATCAGCAATAAAAGCAACAGATATACAAAATTTGATTAATCTACCCAAAATCTAAAGAAGCACAGACTTAACCTTCACACTTCGCCTAGGGCAATGCCAACCATCCACCAATCTGCTGAGAGGTGGCCGTCATGGTACCAGCCGAGACAAGGCATCAAGATAGGACCAGAATAATCTAAAGAGCAAGCAAACCTCACTTTCTCATGAATTGATGTTATATGAAATCAACCTCTTCGCTGCAATGTGAGTCTAGTCTCGTCACTACAAGAGGCACAACGGCAAGATGAACGAGCTTGACAGGAATTAATCTGGCACCTTTCGACATTTAGCGATTATATGAAGCGTGGCATGTCTACACAGTAGAGTCTGAACAGGGAGAGGCGGAAGAAATTCATAGTGCCGTTGATTGCAGCCTTAAATATATGGATATAAATATCAAAAAATAGCTTACTAGAAGTTAGGCGCGCTCTGAGAACAGATTGGAAGCAATAAAATAGGCCAGCTATAATGTCCGCCTGCGATTCCTTCCCCAATAACACCAACATTATATGATACTCGTCAACCTCAACAGTCTTCGTGTTTATGATCCCGTCTACAACGCACGCAGAGGCGATGACGATATTCCCAAGACAAACAGAGGGTAGCTTCAGATTTGACGCGCTCGTGCACTAATCCAGCGTTGCACTTGAATCAGGCTCGGATCCTCATCAATCCATCGGCCTCTCTGCGAGTCCGTGCGGCGCATATTACCGTAAACAACCTCGTCCGTAATGGAAGCAACAACCTACTCAGGCGAAAAATATTAGTTAAAAACCGAGCGAGCTAGATATCAACAAAGGGGAACTAACATTTGCGAGGTGTGTATCTGAGGCTCTTAAGAAAGCTGCGCATTCGGGGTTTCCCCGTCGTCGCAGCGCATCCACTCGTCTCTCTACCCATTCCAGGGCAGCCAGTTGTCGGAGGCGGATCTTTTGTGCGGCATGGCGGCGCGAGAAGGCATCGAGATGAACCCTAGCCGCGAAAAACAGAATTAATAAAAGCGGGCCGTCAAACCTTGCCGGAAGTAGGGGGCAGGCAGGTGATTTGATGAGAGGAGGCTATCTTACTGCCGGAGTTCCGCCTTGTCTTGCTCTTCCTCCTTGTTCTGGCCACCCGACCCGCGTGGCACCTGCGTATCGGCGCCGCACTCGAGAATTCGCTGGCCATTCAAGACACACTGTAGGAGCAGTGTCCAGCCCGCCGAACGGGTTTCATTGGGATCTTGCGGCTCGGCTGGGGCACTAGCGATCTGGTGTTGCAGGGTGCGGAAGTCGGAGAGGAGCTCCGCGACCCGCTGCGATCGCTTCGGGTTCACTGCAGCAAGCTGGAATCAGTAATCTAATTGAACAACTGTGCAGGGAATGAAAAGGGAGTATTAATCTTACGTCCATCTGCCATTCCAGAGGAGAAGAGCCAGAGTATATCTCTAGCTACTCGTTAGATCCTGTTCTACCCGTGCCGCTGAGTTATGGATGCTCGAAAGAAGATTCCCTAGATGACCAGAGAAGGGCGAAGATGGTAGCTAGGGAGTTTTGAAGAGAATTTTAAGAGGAATTTGTCTCACAGAGCTGCTGATATCATGTCTTTCGAGAAGGACAGGCTTTATCTATATATATACAGATTCGCATATACGTAGGTAGCGACGACTATGAGAAAATTTGTAACGACATTTTGTTCAGTGGCCAATCCACGCACCTCATCCTTACCATTGCAGGGCCGTAGACTTCAATCGCGCTGGCCCAAGACCCAGGAGCACGATTCCCGTACATTCAGTGGCGACTTTGCCCGTCGCTGGCAAGGCATCGCGCGAATATCGACGGCAGACGCCGGTACCAGCATAGACAGAGGCAATGGTCTCCTGGCTTAATAACTGCGGCTACGCAAAGCAGCAATCGGAGCTAAGCTGGTCTTCGGTTATCCCGAACAGCCTCGTCCCGCTCTCCCTCATTGGTTGCCTGAAGCGGCTATCGGACATCAGGCGATCCCCCGATGCACTAAAGCAAGCCAAGAAAAATCGGATGAAACTACAACAGGGTTAGCCGCGGTAGAGACAAGTGGCGTGTGCTGGAATTTCAGTTTGTTTTTGAAAGATCTAGCGAGCGCATTTATTTCGGCATGGCCGATAATTGCCACTCACTCAATCTGTTCGATAGTTAAAAACTGATACAGAGTAAACTTTAACAAGAAAATTTCATGCAAAGTGATTAGCTTCAACGGCAAGGTGTTCAGCTTTACTTGTTGCAAAGAAATTAATATAGGCTGCATGGGCAAGCTGAAATTCGCCGCCATGCACTGCGTAGAAAACGTACTTGCGAACAGAAAATGTCTCTACTACACTATCTTTCACTCTATTCCCGGTCAGAAATACGTTAACGGGGCTTCACTACAACGCTTAATGATGCCAAGTTCTTACTCTGGTTGTAACCGAATTTTAACGAAAGTTTTACTCTCCAGTATTATCGATAGCTTAATCTTTTTCTGCGATCGCTTGTAACCTTTCATCAATCTCTTCTTCTGTTAAAGCCCTGAAGTCTGAACACGTTCCTGCCTTCCCATCTACCCTAGGACCTCCCACAATGCCTATCTCTAATTCGTTTTTCTTGAAGTCTACGCTGAGAATAGTGCTCAGGGTAGTTATAGCAAGTTCAACGACATCCTCCCAGTTTCCTTCGGCGCAGTCTTTATTTTTAAGTTTCTTCTCCAAATGGTTGAAGGCTTCTTGCTGCTTGGGTCCCGATGCTGTAGCTTTGTAGCCATTAAAATATCCAGCAGGATCGCACTTGTATAGCTGTGGACCAAACTCAGGATCTAACGCAATAAGAGTGGTAGCTACTCCATATGGACGCATGTATGCCTACAAAAAAGTTACTCTCGGCCTAGAGGGATTTACCCAGAGAGAGTTTGATAAAGACTTACTCGTTGTGTATAAACTTGACTTATATTAGCAATTCTTTTGGCTAGCGCATCACCTGGCATTTCGTAACCATACTTGTACCGGAATTCCGCTGATTCACCAATTGCGCGTTGAACAAAAGCTCTAGCGTCAGCGATTGAGCCCGTCATGACACAACCTACTGAGGGCGAGAGCTTGAAGATGTGAGATACGGATGAAGGATCAATAAGTTTATCCTAGATCAGTCAATCCAAATCCTTCGCTACTAGGATCAATATCATACAGGAACTTTTTTCTGTGAAAGTACTACAGCGCAATCTTTTCCTCGCACACCAATAGACATGATGTTTGCGGCAGTAATGGCCTTGAAGGCATATTCTTATCATTACTTGTTAGCTTAAAGTAGTTATCCATATTTCAATACTAGGCTCCTCAGGCTGCACAGGTATGTCGAGATTCTTTCATACCAACTTGATATAACCTTCCCTGGTCCGAGAATATCGTTATGTGTCTATCGTAGCCTGCACCGCCTGTTGGGTGATGTTAGCTTACACAGATGCAAATTTGATCTGAGCCGCTATTTCACCTACCCGACATTATTCTATATTAAATTTTCAATTAATGACGGTGTTATTCTACTGTTAGATGGGCTGAGATTTTGGTTCGATGACTTGGGTGTTGATCAGGTCTTGGCGGTCATTCTGAGCACAAGTGATATCCATTGTAGTCACATGATCTCTTATCAAAATATCACCTGATTATTGTTCTTCGCAAATGCGGCGATGACCACAAAGATGGAGCTGGATACGCAATGTAGTTATGCAATTAGAAGTAGTAGCGCGGTGGTCCTGTATTCACGCGTCATAGATAGAATACAATAGAGTGCTTGAGACCTCTCATATCTCCGAATCCCAACGTATTTCTACAACCACCTGATAAATAGATAAATAGATTAATACTTCATGCTAGAACAGAGATTTCCCCCAGTTCCAGCCTCTTTCAGCAATCCGACAATTCTTTTTAGGTACCTGGGAGTAGCAATGAGTATTTTCAAATGGTTTGATCAGATGGAATCCTACCCAACAATCTGCCCTAGAAGTTCAGGTTGTATAGCCCTAAGTAATAATTCTCGATGCTATCACACTTCACGTGGCAGTCTGTCTACAGGAAAGGAACAGAGTCTAGTACTCAGGCTCCTGAGGGAAAAATTGTATTGTGTAATGTTATTTGTATATGGTGCGGATGCAACGTCTGGCGTGGCTATATGTGTAAATCAAGGGCTCGGCATTTCTTGTCTGGGAGCAGCGAGGGCGAGGCTTCCAGGGCAGTAAGCACTAGCGTCTATGTCCAGTTGAGTAGACGGTAGGAGCCCAAGTTTCGGCCTGGCATCTCAATGGACGTTAAATAATAAAACATTCAATAATTACAGATGAGACTATAGGCAGAAAAAGGATTTCATATAGAAACACACCCTCAAATATCCACCGAAACCTTAGTAGAGCCCAAAGCAGTATTGCAGTTCAGATAAGAAGTAAGCACATTGGTCTCAATTCTTACCTGTATCGAGGGAAAATCCTCGGAGTGATTAATCCAAAATGCCAGTGTGGGTATCCGTCTCAAAATGTCAAACATATGGCCTTGGTGTATCCTCAGTGGGCAATGAGACGAAGAGAAGTGCTTCGAAAGGCAAAAGATAAGTCATTTGCGGCATTGATGAACAGCTCAGATGATATAGAGAGAATCACAAATTGGATCGTGGTAAAAGGCTAGTTTGAACAATTCCGGCTTGCAGGGGAAATAAAAATAGTATTGGGCGAAAGGATGAGACGATATGTACAAGGATAAGACGGAATTCATACTGTATAGACAGTGTATTCGCACTTCCTGTAGGAAACCTCAGAAAATCAATGGACACGAGACAGACAGTTTAGTGGGTTTTTACCGAATTGTTTTGTTTTGTTCATTTACGTGCTAGGTATAGTGATTCCCGTTGCACTCCTACTGGAGCTTAAACACGGGTGGTGCCGGACTGGATCAGGTTAACTACCATTAAGTACATCTACCTCGTCTCACCTAAATGACCGGACCACCTCAGACTTCACCTATGTGTTGAATCATGTCAAGCCCAGCCGTCCATAATCCCTCTTTTGGCGCGCCGAAGCGCAAATTCCTCAGCCTCGGCCACCACGCGCCCGAGCCCTTGACACCTTTGCCATCTGTAACTTTTCCCTTCCATTCATTCCCAGCTTTGGCTCACCTCAGCATCTCCTCATCTCATCCAGGCGTCGTTTTCTTCACTGGAAGCCTCATCCAGTCACCCACCAAGGGCTCCTCAGTTTGTATCCCCTTTTAGTTCCTTCATACAGCATCCCTCTGTCCTTCAGCCGACCTCGTCATCTCATAAACTTTGTAGAATGTGCAGCCCTCCGGCCTTGCCCCGTCGCTACCGTACCCCTAACCGTGGAGGTCGAAAACGCGACTGAGAACTCAAGGCCGAGGCGCCGGTGCCCCAGCCTTTGTTGAACGCCCTAGTTAATGTGCCGGCGAAATGTCGTGTGTATTTCGTAGGTGGCGATTCGTCGCAGGTCAGGTTTTTGGTACCCTTGGCCTAGGTGAGGACGCATTTAAGGCCGGTATTTCGACCGTGCCTTCACAGCAACTGGCAGTTGCGGAGGTTCGGACATCCTCTTGCTTCTTTGTTGGCGATTTGTCTTTTGGAGGTATGGGATTTCTTAGGTAGATGGTGAGATGATGGTGGAGAGGGCCGCGAGATGTGTTTGGCTGAGGATGATTTTCCAGAGAAAAAGAAAATAAGATCTCGAAGGTGTCGGTTGTTGTGATACGAACATCAGACAGGTTATAGGCTGTCTGCGGTTCGTATCTTGGGTGTAGATGATTGATTTTGTTGAGCTGTGCAGTCGTGAAATCTCTGCAAGTCGGATTTTCGACCAAAAATGTGCCAACGCCACTCCTCCCGATCGCCAACTCGACAAAAACACTCAAATTCACCCTCTGTCGTGACTGAATCTCGGCTCTGGGAGAATATTTCACTCCCAGGTTCGTAGAGGTCACCACTGACAGGTGTTCAGCCTTCGTCCTCCTTTTACCGAATTGGTTTCATCCTGTGTAAATATTATAGCTAGATGTACCTGCATGGGCCCATGCAGTACCTAAACGGGCTAAATGAAATGAAATCAAATCAAATCAAAACATAAAACAATTAATTAATTTAAATAAAGCTGGTGCCGGATCGATGGTATCCAGCTATCTCGACGCGTCGCAAAATGCGACATCGGCCAAACAAATAAACGCGCGATTCGAGAGTCCCCATAATGCCCATTTCAATTCCTTTTATCCTTCTCACCCGTTTATCAACGAATCGAATCGTAATTGTTTGAAATTGGCGACACTTTAACATGCCTCCGACGCGTAAATCGCACAAAAACGCTATCAGCGGCACTGCCAAAGATCGTGTCAACAAACCCTACCAATGGACTCCTGCCATTAAAAAACACGCAAGTCATATGCTAACGAGACGAGGGCAAGACTGAACACCTGTACGCGGTGTCCTCTACGAACCTGGGAGTGAAATATTCTCCCAGATCCAAGTTCAGTCAAATTTCGCAATATCAAAGAAGTTGGCCCACGAGGCAAAATTTAAATTACTCCACCATGTCAATCTTTCACTCCCGAAGATTCCGATTCTCAACTAAGCTTCAAGACTACAAGTACGATCTAGTACATCCTCGTTTCAATGACCACACCTCTCGTCGACTTTCTCTGGCCTCAGCCGGTCACCACATACACGCCCACGCCGATATTTACACCCGACAGAGAAAGCAAAGCGTAAGGCATAAATCCGGGAGACAGCTTTTTGGGATGGACGCGAGAGGGATAAGGACAAGTTTACAAGACGATGCAGAAGAGGGATACGTTTTCGACGGGCGTGAAATATCGGACTTTGGCAAGAGTTTTACGAATTGAGCTTTGTGCGCGTCAAGACTTCGCTTGCGAGAGTGCAGCTGACACTATAAAAACAACCCGAAGATGGAAGGTGCCGTGGTCCGCCTTCTGGTGGTGTTCTCCGGTATAGTTTGAGTAGCCTGGGCACCTACTCTATTTGGGAAGGAGACGCCTAAGACCTATTTCGCGCGGAGAAAAGCTGAAAGATGATGGAGGCATGTCTGGATAACTCAGGGTTTTTGAGACGTTCCCCTGGGTGGGTACTCACGGATGAGGGTTGACTTGGAGTGAAGAAAAAGCCACCATAACTTCGCAGTGGTACCTGCAAATGAAATCCGAGGCATGAGTGCTCTTCCTTTACGTTGAATCATCTATTCTGTACTTTTCTTTGATATTGTGTTATAGCTAGATAGCTACATACGCAATTAAAATCTGATGCAAAAAAAAAGATCGGTTCATTTGAATAAATGAAAGTTTATTCGTGACGGGCACAAGCCCTGCACTCAAAGAGCATGACACGGAGAAGACTAGCTTCTCCGGCGACTATATATGACGATAACTCAGTTTGACGTTTTGTTCGGATTAGGTCCTGGTCAACGATGTCTGGCCTAATTGTGCTATGTTGCAGGCTACTGTTACAGTTATTCATAGGATCATCATCAGGGTTGTGAGTAGTTTCGGTTTGGTGTGGTTTGGTAGATTGATACCTGAGCGTGTCGCGTAGTAGTCAGACATGCGACTCGAGTAGCATATGTGCGGTATATTGAAAGGCTATGCTGAGCTGGAATGACGTACCGTTAGGATGAAGGTATGGAAGGAGGTAGCTATGGCTTTAAGAGAAGTAAAGTTCGTGAGTTATACTCTTAGGACTTGGATCAATGGACGAACTTGAGGATATTCCCTAGTATTCTCAAGTGTGTAAATAATATGGAGATTGTTTGAATTTCCTATTGTATGAATTGCTTGAGTTATCTACGTGACAGGACCTTCTTCTATATACATGAACAAGGGTGTTCTGCACACTAGTGGATGTTCCAACATCTGTCCTTGTCTAACCGAGAAAGGAAGGAAGTGAGAGATCCTAGCGCCAATACATACCATTAGGAATCTGTTGGGAAATACTATGTCATACCAATGAGTGATGATTTAGGTGAATCATATCCCATGGCGCATGTGCACATTATTCTAATGTGAACAGTTTATTGTAATGCAGTCATGTTACTCCCTTAATTACAACACGGTAAACCTCAGCCCCAAACTGATGATACGAATCAGGTTTTACATGCTGCGTCCTATATGGCTAGCGTGGTTGGAATATGGGGAATTTACCTGTAGATAGATAGAGACGTTGTAGCCCTCTGATAGTTGGGACAAGTCTTCTACAATATTATATCGGAATCAATACCAGCCTCTCATTAAGCAATCTCATGAATTATTTCCAATGTCTGTGATAACAGATATACATATACAATATCGACGATCAAGTTTAAAGTCGATAACATTTGGACTACTCATGAAGTGGGTGCATTCGCTGATACCACTCGAGACCTTGGTGCTAGGGACTTTCACCC